ATTGAGAAACACCTACCCATAACGAAAAATACTATTCTTGTTGAGTTTTTGAAACTTTCAAGTAAATTTCAAATTGGGTTTTGTAATTAAAGCTCTATTGAATTATTTTAAGAGCTGGAAAATCAATATCCAGCCATGGCAAATGCAATAGGTATAGAATTCTTACTCTTTATGATGAGTAACTAAAACACCCATACTTGGGGGTGTGACTATGTGACTAATTGTCTGATCTGATGAGCGTTAGGGATTATTAATCGTAATGTTATTTTGAAGTGGGTTTGATTTATAGCTGTTGCTTAATTGATATATTGGAATGTGTATTTAGATATTGTTAGTGTTATACGCTTGCTTGAAAGAGAGGTGTAAAACTAAGGTTATAAATTAGCATTTGTAGTCTTTGGGTTGTTGTGGGTTAAGCTCGAGAGCTCAATGCTACCTATCTAGCTCGAGAGAGTAGGTGAAGTGAGGTTTTGGGCTGTTTATTGTAAGAAGCTTGTTGAGGCTCGAGAGAATTCACCTGAAGCGTAATAGTTGTTCGAGAGAAAGCTATTGCATATAAGGTCCAGCTTACCCGCTACGATTTAGAAATTGTTAGTAATTACCGAGCACCCATTTAGCGAAACTGGTAGTTAGTCGGTCATACCCCTGAGTATCTCTTAATTACTTGTTTCTCCTTTGTTGTTTGTGATTGCTTTAGTTGATAATTGCCAACCAAATCCCCCATTTAACATTCATGTCACCCCATCAATTTATTTAAGTACTTTCAATAATTTTCATTCTTACAACCGATTGATTTGCATTTATAACTTCATAATTGAATTCAAACTTGTACCGCTCCTTGTAGGTTCGACCCCAACTCATTTGTTGGGTTTTATACTAGATTATAATCGCTCCCACCTAGTATTAGATGAGGTGTGGTTGAGCGTTAATCAAAATGTCGCCGCTGCTGGGGAGTGGTGTTTATAATTCTTCTATTGAAGTTTGAATTGAAAGTTCTTTGTGTTGTAGTTGAATCGACTTGACTTTGTTTTGTGAGCTGTTGTGATTAGGTGACAGGATGAGTGCAAATGAAAGCACCGTGAACCAACTTGATCACCAAAATGATGGTGATGATTTCTTTCACACCAATGAAGCTCTATTGGGGGGCGTAGGTGCTATTCTTCTACCTCTAGGTGAAAATCTGTTTGCCTTCCATATGACCAATAAAATGCTACAATTCTTTCAAGCTAGAGGCGTATTCGGGGGACTAGATGAAAATCCCCATGAACACATTCAAAACTTTGTGGAGATATGTAGTCCTTACTCACTCAAGGGTATTTCAGAAGAATCAGTGCGGCTTAGGTTGTTCCCTTTTTCTTTAATGGGAGAGGCAACCAAGTGGTTAGCCGGGCTAACACGAGACTCTATTTCATCATGGGAGGAGCTGACCGAGGAATTTTACATGAGGTTCTTTCCACCTTCAAAGATGGTAAAATTGCGGGACAACATCCAAAATTTCAAGCGGGTAGAAGGGGAGCCAATTCATGAAACTTGGCGGAGATTTCAAAAGTTGTTATTACTATGTCCTACTCATGGGCTTCCGGGTGATGTGATACTTCAATATTGTTATTGGAGTGTAGACTCAGTGACCACAAGAGTAGCTGACCAGCTGGCACGAGGAGAGATAATGTTACAGCCATTTAAAGTGGCCTCGTCCCTCCTTGATAAGATGACTAAGATCAATCAGGTGTGGTACACTCAAGAGGACCAAGTTTCTCCCTTAACCTTCAAGATGACAAAAGAGCAACTTGACAAGGAGAAAGAGAGGGACGAGAATATTAGCAAAATGATGTCCCAAATAGAGTTGCTACAAAAACAAGTCCTAGAAAAGGTTGGTGAACCTAAAGAGGTTAGAAGGGTATTTAGAATTGAGAGGGGTTCTCAACCGAGTTACTTCAATGAGGGTGGGAATCAAGATTGGAACGCACATAAAGAAGAGGAGCGGAGACAACACTATCAAGATTGGGTTGAACAAAATGATCCTTTGAAGACAGAAGAGAGTCGCGAAGAATACCACACACAATCAAGTGACAGTCCAAGATCAAAGGGTAGTTCAAGTAACTTAAGAATGGATGAATTGTTGTCGCGTATCCTAGATAAGATTGAAGGATACGATGACATGCTTAAAGAGATGATGACTGATTTCTCCTCATTGAATAATAGAGTTAATTCTCACGCGGATGCAATCAAACAACTTGAGGGTCAATTGAGCTTACTTTCGGAGCAATTGGAACCCAAGGTATTTGAAAGGGGTGAAACCAACTGTGCAACAACTTTGAGGCCCGACTATGACAAAGACTTGGCGGTGGTGACTCGAATTGGGAAAATAGCGGTTGGTGTTGTAAAGGGTACTGATGGGATGAACACTCATGAAGAAGAGCAAGATGTCGATAAGGAAGAAAAGCCCATGAATGAATGAGCTGGTCACTAAGAAGAGGAACATGGACTTCGAAACAATCGAAGTTTCTCACAATTGTAGTGCCATTATGACTAGTGATATGATTACAAAAAAGGAGGATCCGGGGGCATTTATTATACCATGCACCATTGGTATGCTTCAATTTACTAAAGCTTTGTGTGACTTGGGAGCAAGTATAAATTTGATTCCCTATGCAATTTTTAAACAACTTAGGCTGGGTTAACCAAAATCCACAACAATGAGGTTTCTTATAGTGGACCGGTCTATCAAACACCCAATTGGAATATTCTATGACATATTGGTGAAGGTTGATCGATTTATTTTTCTGGCTGATTTTGTTATTCTTGATTGTGAGATTAACGCTGAAATTCCCATTATTTTAGGAAGACCATTTTTAGCAACTAGGAGAGCGCTAGTGGATGTTAAAAGCAGGGAGTTGAAGTTTCGGGTGAACAAAGAAGAGGTCACCTTTAATGTGTGCAAGTCAATGAAACACCCGAGTGATATTCATGTGGTTTCTACGATTGATGTAATAGATGAAGTGGTGGCCAGTGTAAGTGAATTGATGTGTATGAGGTTCAATGAACCTCTTGAGGCTGTTCTTTTGAATTATGATGAGACCGAAGTTCAAGGGTATGATGAAGTGGTAGCTTCTCTATCGGGGTTGGGTGAATATTCAAGGAACCCATTGAATATAAACATTGATCTACAGAATCGAGAAAATCCTCACGCCAAACCATCCACAGAGGAACCACCAAAGCTCGAATTGAAAGTTCTCCCCGCACATCTTTGATATGCATTTGGGGGCAAATAACACCTTGCCCGTGATCATTGCAGCTGACTTGCTTAAGTGGCAAGTAAAATTGCTTCTTGTGGTGTTGAGAAGGTACATCAAGGCTATAGGGTGGACTATCGCTGACATTGTGGGTATTCCACCCAACATTTGCACTTACAAGATTCAACTTGATAGTGAGTGCAAATCGAGTGTAGAACATCAAAGGAGATTGAACCTACCTATGCAAAAGGTGGTAAAAAAGGAGATAATCAAGTGGTTGGATGCGGGTACGATTTACCTTATTGCGGATAGCAAATGGGTGAGTCCGGTGTAATGTGTACCCAAAAAAGATGGCATCACTGTAGTCCCAAATGAAAAGAGGGAACTTGTTTCTTTGAGACCGGTAACCGGATGAAGGGTTTGCATGGACTATCGAAAGTTAAATTCTTGGACTGAAAAATAGCACTTTTCCATGCCTTTTATGGATCAAATGCTTGATCGACTTTCGGAGCGCGGATGATATTGTTTCTTGGATGGTTATTATGGGTATAACCAAATCTCTATTGCACCGGAAGATCAAGAGAAAACAACTTTCACTTGTCCCTATGGGACATTTGCTTTCAAAAGAATACCTTTCGGGTTGTGTAATGCCCCGACGACGTTTCAACATTGCATGCTGTATTTTTACTGACATGGTGGCAGATTCAAAGGAAGTCTTCATGGATGACTTCTCCATTGTGGATGATACTTTTGAAGCATTCTTAGCACACCTTGGGCAGGCCCTTCAAAGATGTGTGGAAACCAATCTAGTCCTAAATTGGGAGAAATGCCACTTTATGGTTAGAGAAGGTATAGTTTTGGTTCACAAAGTATCTCAAAAGGGGCTGGAGGTTGACAAGGCAAAGATTGAGGTAATTGAGAAGCTACCACCACCACTCTCGGTAAAAGGAATTCGTAGTTTCTTGGGGCATGCCGGTTTCTACCGGTGGTTCATCAAAGACCTCTAAAAAATCGCACGCCCATTGTGCAAGATTTTGGAGAAGGAGGTGAAATTTAACTTTGATGACATATGTATGCAGCCTACAAGTGTTTGAAAGAAAAATTGATCTCTACCCTGGTGATTATTAGCCCTGATTGGTCGGCACCTTTTGAAGTGATGTGTGATGCAAGTGGTACAACGTTAGGTGTTGTGTTAGGGAAAAAGTGCAACAAACTATTCCATCCAATCTACGACGCAAGCAAAACATTGAATGGTGCTCAACGTAACTACACTGTTACGGAGCAAGAATTACTTGTGGTGGTATATGCATTTGAGAAATTCCAGGCATACTTACTAGGCACCAAAGTGGCAGTTCACACTGATCATGCAGCCCTACGGTACTTAATGGCAAAGAAAGATGCTAAACCAAGATTGATAAGATGGGTGCTGTTATCGCAAGAATTTGACTTTGAAGTCAAGGATAGAAGAGGTTGCGAAAACCAGGTAGCCGATCACCTATCTAGGTTAGAGGGCAAAGAGAAAGATGAGCTTGAGTTAGACATAAATGACTCATTCCCAGATGAGCAGATATTCATAGCTAGATGACGATCTTTGGGCGTATCACATTGCTTACAAGCCACCAATTGGTATGTCCCCATATCAGCTAGTTTTTTGGGAAATCTTGTCACCTACTGATTGAACTTGAACACAAAGCACTATGGGCATTAAAGGCATTAAATCTGGATTGGGTAAATGCTTCAAAAGGAAAAGTAGATCAGCTGAACGAAATGGAAGAATTCAGGTTTAGAGCATATGAAAGTTTAGATCTCTACAAAAAGAAGATGAAGAAATGGCACAATTCTAAAATCCTTAGGAGAGAATTTCAAGTTGGAGATTTTGTGTTGCTGTACAATTCTCGATTGAGACTCTTCCCGGGAAAGATCAAGTCGAAGTGGTTCGGTCCATTTAAAGTGACACTAGTGTTCAGGAATGTGGCCATTAAAGTCGAAGGTAAGGAGGGTCCAACTTTCAAAGTGAATGGGAAGCTTCTAACGCTTTATTTTGGCGAGTGTCATGAAATTGCAGTCATTGAAGTGGTATATTTGGAAGATGCTTGAGAGCACTTCCACGTCGTCCCACAACGTTAAATAAGGCGCTTCTTTAGAGGCAACCCAAGCTTTAGTTGTTATAAATAATGTTTGTTGCTTTTGCGGGTATGAGCGATTCTGCGAGGGGATGGTCATTTCGGTGCGTTGCCGAATGGAACGATGATCACGACTTGGCTCACCTTCTTTCCCTTAGATAGGGGACTGTAGTCTGGAATATTTGGCGAAGCGCCGAAAAGGTTAGGTGAGCCCGACTTTCACCACCTTTTGACCTACCCTGAAAGGCTGGTGTTCTGGAAATTTGGGCGACGAACTTTGGACATTGGGCGATGTGCCGATGCTGTTCGGCAAGCTTGAATTTCACTGCCTTTTGATCTCAATTGAAAAGCCAATATTCTGGATATTTCGGTGAACTGCATATAGTTATGCGGTTCGCCGAATCTTTTGGCGCTTCCCACATTACTTCACCGAATGGACACCCAGTGAAGAATTCTCCTACCTCTAATCTTGTCATTCAGTGCTATTACATTTCTATCTTTATTCCTTGCCCGTTTATTTCTTTTGCATTGAGAACAATGTTGGATGTTTTTGGTGGGGTGGAAACTTGTTAGGAATACCACCTCTAGATGCGTTTGAATGAAGTTGTTCCCCTACATTTTTGAGTATTGATTACGGTCAATACCGATGACTTGAATAGTGTACTTAATTGAACGACATGAATGTGTGGCTACGATGAGGCAAACTAAGTTACATAGGCAATATGTGATCTTTAAGCATCTCGCTGTGACTAGCCGGTTGTCGAATGAGTCTCTTGTGATGAACATTGCACACTAGCTTGAAAGTGTAGAGTCTTGTTTGATAATTGTACCAATGCCTTGTGTGGTGAGGTTGTCTTGAACATTGTGCTTGATGACACTTAGAATTTACCCCGTTGGTTCGATTGATTGAGTGAAGCGAGCAATTAAAATGATCTTAGGCAAGAATTTTGAAGAGTTAGCCAATTTGACAATATACCTCTTTGTGGCCAACCTTGTGAGATGTGTGAACCTTGATTGGCACCTTTTGAGCCTATCCTTTTCTTGGAAGAAACTTGAAAAACTTTGACCTCTTTATCCCATCACCAATAACCTTCATGAAGTATTGGTATGTTTGAATAACCAACTTAGGCCAAAAGCCTAAGTTGGGGGTGTGGTGAAAAAGGAGGAAAATCAAGAAGTGTAAAGATTCCCCCTTTTATGGATTGTTTTGATTTATATGGAACCCTTCCATATAAAATAAAAGGAAGAAAGAAGAGAATGAGAAGAAAGAAAAGAAAAAGACAGAAAAAGAGAAAAAGTGGTGAAATAAAGTGTGTGAAAAGAATGAAAAATAATGGGGTATCCAGTGATGCATGTTGAGTTGAATAATTGGGGGAAGTTTGAACATGTTTGAATGTGAAAGAGAAGGAGAAAGAGTGATTTTTAGGCCATACTTCATGAAGGTAGATGCCACTAAGCCTAAATGACCATACCTTTACACTCAACCCCATTACAAGCCTTAAAAAGACCTTTGTGATCTTTAGTGAGCTGAAATAAATGTTGATTGGAAAATAAAGGTAAGCCTATGGGTGGAGTCTTGCATGTGTTCATCTTTGTGAGTGTGAGAGTTGTATGTGATT